TTAATTTTCTCTTTCTTTATTATAACATCCCTGTTTTCCCCATCTACAATGTTCGTATGTTGCAGTTGATTCGGTGTTCAAGGTTTTGCTGCGAATATCACGATTCCAATGAGATATATGTGAATACTACCAGATACAATAACGACACAGGGTTTCGATAAATGCAAGTTAAGGACATATCTGGACAATTGTATGGTCGCCATCGTGATCTGATTGGGAAATATTCTAGTTTCCTCACGTCGTTTAGGCAGACACTTTTAATAGGTTCATTTGTGTGCCTATTAGTTTTGTTGTCACTTGCCTGGTTTTTGATATCAGCTCGTGACATTTCTTAACAGGACCTAGATTCCCATGGCAGGTGTCGTAGATAAACTGAAAAGTCTACCGTTCTGGAACACTTGGGTGTTATTGTACTAATGATAGGTCTCTATTTCAAACTTTCATTTGTTTATATTTGCCATAGTTTCGTCTATTTTAAGTTCGAGTATCTGTTGTTTGCACTTCGCTCTCCCTGTATTAGATACTGTGTGCAAATACAAAACTGTATTGTGGCTTGGTTTGGTTTGGTATAATTAGGCTTAACATCCTATAAACAGCTTATGTCATTTAAAGACTTGCCTCCATGTTGGTAATGTATGCTTGCATTTGTGTTTATTTGCAGGAGGCATGGTACGTTGGTGTTTTTGCCTCCTCGCGACAGCACTGATCTGATGCCGACTTTTAGAGTGCTACCACACTGAAATACTATACCAAAAACACCTAACACAGTTTTTCAGCCGGTCACATTATACAGACAAAGGGTAAATCAGTTGTCGCATACCATAAATACTGAACCTTCAGGAGGCAATGATAAATATCGTTTTTAAGGAATACTGGTGTGCCCCGGCCTCGTGACAGAACCCATTGCCCTCCTCACTTAAGTGAACGTTAAGCGCTAAGGCAAAAACTGAAGTATTTCAAACGAAGGCGTTAGGAAACAAAAAGATTGTTAGAAAGTAAAAAGATCATATAAAGATAACAAATGTTGCCAAGCAGCAACATATCACGAGTCGCTGAAAAACATCCCTGATTCTGCCGGGATTCCCACATTAGTCGCCTTTTACAACATGCAGCCATATTTCTCCTTTTTCAATATTTTTTTTTACTGACTATCAGTATATACATTTAATTCGAACTACACCTCCCTAAGAAAAGTATAAAAGCAAGTAAAACGTTGAAGTTTATTGACGAATATCATGTTCGGAATCAGATTCATAAGTTTGGTATGAACATTTCTGACTCGGCACGTTGTGGCTTAGTGTATTTCAGCGGTTTAGGCTCAACACACCGGCCATTTGCAGTTTGCTAAACAATGGAAACAGACGTTTTCGAAAGTTCGCAAAATCAGTTTTTAATTCCTATTTGTATTCAAGACAAGCTTCACATGTACGAATACGATGTGCCAAGGTTTTCGATATATCCCGAAAACAACAATATTAAAGGAAACGGAAAACAAATGTCGAACACTTTGTACCAAGATTTCACCTGCAGGTCGGAGATCGAGGAAAGAATACACTAGCTGTAACCCGTGTCGTTAGAGGCAACTAATGTGAGAACAACCGGCAGAAGTGGGGATTTGCTGTTGTGCCCTCTACTTGGGGACACAAAAGCAACCAAATAAATCTGTTGCACCCATTGCTTTTTTGTTTGTTTGTTTGTTTGATTTTGTTTAACGTCCTATTTACAGCTAGGTTCATTTAAGGACGGCCTCCCCTGTGTGCAAGATGCATGCGTGTAGTGTATGTGTGTGTATTTTCGGAGGCTGCGATATGTTCGTGTTTGTCTCCTTGTGATAGCGCGGAACTGATGCCGACTTTATAGTGCTACCTCACTGAAACATGCACCCATTGCAACATTTGGGATCTTTATCTTTCTTTCTACTTCTAACTACAATATAATTAATGTTGAGCGTTCGCCAAGGTGAGGAAGGCAATGGGTTCTGTTCCCAGGCAAAGTCTTTAAAAATGGTAGTTGTTATTCCCTGCTTAACGTTCATCAAAGAGGGTAATGGCAACAAACTGGTTCACCCGTTGTCAGTATATAGTGACTGGGCAGAATGCTTTGCTGGGTGCCTTCAGCACAGTGTTTCCCTGAGATAGCACTATCAATAGTCGGCATCAGATCCGGGCTATTACAAGGAGGCAAGTACACCAACATACCCTGTCTTCAGCACAAATACACACTTGCACGCTTACACAACACACATGGAGGCACGACCTTAAATGACCTTAGCTTTTAATAGGACGTTAAGCAAAATAAATTTAAAACTAAGATTGCAATAAAATCATGATAAACAACATGATATAAATGTAATAATGATATATATGAAAACTCAATAAATACACCTGAAAGGTTTTTGTGTTCCGACAGCCAATAATAGTATTTTAATATCTTTTAAATTGATAAATGTTTTATGTGGATGCCCGTCACGTTCTGTTCTCTGTGCATACATCAAAATGACACACTGTTGTACTGGCCCCTAAAGGGTAAACATTGTTAATTATGTACATTTTATAAGCGGATCAGTTCAGCTCTCTTGAACATCACGAACAACATGTCCTAATCGAAGGAATATTACTGCCACTACTAGACCGAGAGAAAAAAATCGATATTTACATCAGTGCAAAAGCATTAGAAAGTTAGTTTCATAATTTTATTAAATACATGGGCTATCATGTCTTTGGTTTGGATAATAATGTCATGGCGTGACGCTATAATGAAAATAAATTTGTGATACATAGAGAATGTTAATGTGATGGAATAAGTAAGGTGTGATAAGTGATAAGCACTTAAAGTACAACTTCACAACCTAACGGCACTAAAAAATACTGAAACCGCTTATATGACTTTGGTTAACAATGTTCTACTTTATTATGAAGAATTTTGACCACATCTAATTTTTACTTTATAACTTGATCAATACTTCTTGTAACTGGATCAAATGAAATTCGTATGACGTATCAAACTGATATCTCCAACACGATCACATGACAGACACGTGCAGATTCTGGAATAGAATAAGCCTGATGTATACCACTACATCTGTATCGTAGAACGTGACTTATCTGAGGGCCACTTGCTGAATCGGAGCTACATGGTCAAAGAGACCAAAAGTGATCTGATGCACCCATTGCAACACTTTTGATTTTTCATCCCTATCTTTCCTGCCTACTTTCTTTCCTTTCAACTTTCTCTTTCCGGCAGAGTCTCCCTAAATACCGGTTCGTAAATGCACCTGGCTTTTGCGAGTAAGTTAACACCCCTCCCCTCGAAGACAGAGAAAACAAATAAACAAAATTACGTTCATATGAAGTGCCGAACTGATATCTGTAACAAGACCACAAGACATTCATGTTGAAGATTGCAGGCACGTGTTCGTTCCGATCGCGTGACATTTGTTGGCTCGTAATAAAAACCTTACCAATCGCTAGGTCGATACATGTCGTTTTAAGTCTATCGAATTTACCGTTACGCTCCCGCGCGATTCCTTTTAACTTCATTAAAGACAACAGACTCTTCCATTTTGTCACGACATTTTTCAGGGGTGCAGAGGTTTATGTTTCAAGAAGGGAACCCATCGATTTCGAAGATGTTCTTTAACCAGGTCCCATGGCATTCAAATAAACTGTCATACGTTGTAGCCCGATAACATAACATTCACATGAAGAATGCCTATTTTATTTGATACACAATAACATGACATTAAATAAAGGTCAACTGTCACCTTTAGAATCACTTCGTTGTTTGAAACATAATAACATGACATTCAAATAAAGGTCAACTGTCACCTTTTAAAACACCTCGTTGTTTGTAACACAATAATGTGACATTAAATAAAGGTCAACTGTCACCTTTTAAAACACTTCGTTGTTTGTAACATAATAACATGACATTAAATAAAGGCCAACTGTCACCTTTAGAATAACTTATTGTTTGTAACACAATAACATGACATTAAATAAAGGTCAACTGTCACCTTTAGAATAACTATGTTGTTTGTAACACAATAACATGACATTAAATAAAGGCCAACTGTCATACTTTATAACCCGATAACATGCCATTCACAAATCGAATCACTATGTTGTTTGTTACACAATAACATGACGTTTATCCTTTGTTTTTTGTTTTCACAATTATAACCATTACTATTATCCATATATTTTAAAGCGCTTTAGAGTAATTTTACAAATTATATAGGGTGCTATATAAATGTTGTATATTGCTATTATTATTATCAAATATAGGTCAACTGTCATACTTTATAACCCGATAACATGACATTCACAAATCGAATCACTATGTTGTTTGGTACGCAATTACATGACATTCAAGAAAAGGCCAACTATCACATGAAGTATCACTTCATTGTGTATAGCCTCACCGCATGATATTCACATATTTAATCAAAAAATTCTCTCCTCGAAATATCGATAATCAACTATGAAACTGTAATATTGAAAACAACCGCAAGGATGAAAAAAAGACAGAATGGAGAAGACAATTCAATTGCTCTCAAATAATATCAATTGTTCTTTTGTGACAGTACCTATTGGCCTTTCCCCTACTGAATACGCCAGAATTCCGTCACATTAACTAAAAATAATAATCGTTTTAGCTTCATATGTTCATTGTGAGCATTCATATTGATCGTTAGCTATATGTACGTTAACTTTTCTAGGTGTCATGTGCGAGTGATTATCTGGTTACGGTGGGTGGTGCGCTCCGTCTGTTTCTGGCACAGGTATCTCTGCAGCAGAGGTGAGCGTATACTGCTATAGTTTACTAGCTACCAAACGCTCCTGAAGTTTACTCTTATTTATTATTTCGTTCTCGTGATCACGTAAATATATTCCATACAAAATCATAACTTTTAAACGTATTTTTACTATCTGATATTGTGACAGTATCATATTTTTTGAAAGCATTTGCCAAGGATTTCACAAGAGACAATACATTACAAGGACGAGAAGCACAGAAGACCTTGATCAAGACCATTTAATGATTGTGTGTGTTGTCTGACTAATGAATCTTTGAGGAATAACTTATATGGAACACATTTTGAACAATTCTACGCAGAGAAGCTTTTACCAACGACGAAGTCACCAGTTGGATTAATGCAATGGCGCCTACAAGTCAGGGGCTTTGGTTAATGCCAATCCTTTTCCTATTACAGGTGTCCGCCATAGGTAAGATGTTTTATTTTTATTACTTTTCGGTTAATGTTTTACCGTTTGATGAATTGAAAACACAAGAAATTATTTATTTCAGCTTCTGTTTTAAACTCCTATTCATTTCCTGATGTTTTACAAAATACAGTGTAATCACATTCTTCGTATTGACAGTATTGAAAAAGCTTTTCTTATCATTTCACATCTTCTGTACACTAGCATCATTTTTGTATTTATTCTCTTTCTTATACTTCTATTATTCTATACTTAATAGAGTAAACTATAACTTTGACGTCTGATTAGTATCAGTATTATTTTTTCGCCTTTTCCCTATGCATTGGCGACCAAGCGATTAATCGCCATTTAAGTTTGCTAAATGACCTGTATTGCTTTTGCCAAGGCGACAAAACACCGTTTGAAAAATAAAACGGCGCTATTTCGTTCGTCGCCACAATAAAGCCGAGTGGCGAAAAGACAAAAGCGGCCCTAAACAGCCATCATATTTAATCTTTATCAATGTTGAGATCTATTAAAATCTGTCAATTTTTTTTGTCATTTATGTTCATCTTACAATTATGCAAGGAACCATTCTATAACACCACGTTATTGAAGAAGTTGTTGATGCTAAAGAGCGTATATATTTCACATCATTTATGGTACAAGTACACCATAAAAGCCATATGTGAAGACTTTTGCAACTTCGATGTTGAATTGTTGTATCTTTTTAATTCATTGCAGATCGTTTGAAATATTTCGCCAAATGTTACAAAGTCGGAACAACCGCTTTCGAATATATTTGACAAAATAGAATTAAAAACACGCAAGACACAATCTTCCGACTTCCCAAAACAAAATTATATAAAATGATAAATTTCTAAAAGTTTGACCTTATTGAGATGACTAAGGCACATTTGAACTTTGTTAAATTTATGTTCCAGAAAGTACCAATTTTATATCTAAAATCATAACATGCCATTGCAGAATGAGTCAATGTCATAAAGGTTGGTTTAAACTTTGTTTTATTCAAAAAAAATTGACAATACATCGAAATACATGTTTTATTAAACAGAAAAGGAAACAAAAACAAATGTCGTGTAACTTATGTAAATTTATTACCTGCTTAGTAATCAGATTTTCAACACTAGCTACGAGAATGAAGTAATGTGTACAATAGAATAATTACGGGAATAGGGTATGGGGTAATGGATTGGTATACAGTGGAAACCAGGAATGAATAACATATCAATATACATATGATCATCAGATGACAATATCATATTGCTCTATTGCAATGAGTATGTGGAACACGATTCTGTAAAATATAACTATGGAATAGTAGATGAAAATGTCAGCAGTCATGTAAATGGACACTCGAAAAAGGTTAAAATGTATATACAAGTTACATAGAATAAATCACCACTAAATCAACTATTGACAAAATTAGTATGTCACAAAGCAACGCCATGATTATTAAAAAACGTTGCAGTTCACATACTAGCCATCACACTTATCAAATATAAGTCCATAAAACACTTTCCCGCCTCGTCCCTGGTACGTCCTGCTCTTTCAAGGTAACACATCACTTTATCAAACAATCATAATCATGGCGAGTTAGTGACATAATATATAGCATAAAGATATGCAATGGCAAAATCACTGAATAAGCATATAAATCCAAATACATTTTAAAACATAGTAGTAAAACGAATGCAACACAACATACATATACATATATGTCAAAATGAAATTGTTAAGGACTATTCGTTTATTTGAAATCTTTTAGTTTTGAGTATATAGGTTTGGACGGCTAGAAAAATCGTAGTGTTTTCTTGATGGGTTAGAGAGTCATCGCCAAAGATTAAAAGATTAGTTGATAGTTGATACGGCAAACTCAGTATATGAAGCTGTCTAAGTGCTATATATTTATTACATTTTAGCAAATAATGTGTTGAGTTCTCAATGGCACCGCAGGAACAATTCGGGGATGGTATGATGTTTTTCGTAAACAAGTGTTCTTTTAGGGAGCTACATGACATACGCAGTCTTTGCGTGGTAGATTTGACCCAGCCGTGAACCCTGAAAGTAGTATGAAGGTGGACATGATTTACTATCAGATTTCAGAAAGGCTTTTAAATGGGAAATGGAAGCGTTATTTCTTATATGTAATGGAAGAGAATTCCAATTGTTTACAGCAGAAGGAAGAATGCATTTAGATAAATATTTGTTTTACAAGGAATAGTTGACAGATGGGTCAGAAAGTCTGGTATTATAACTATGAACATCACTAACTGAATTAGGTAAGAGATTATACAGATACTCTTCAGTATTTTGATAAAACATTTTATGGAATTGTAACAATTTATGATTAAGTCTACGGTCTGTTAATTTATTCCATTTAACTTCTGTATATAGTTTGTCTAAGCTTACAAGTTTAGTAGCACCTGAAACAATCCTAGCAGCTTCCAAATTAACATTCTCTAGTTTAGAAATATATTCTTTGGGAATGCTATCCCAGACAGCATCAGCATATTCTACAAGTGGTCTAATAAACGCAAAATATATATTTTGTAATGTTTGCCTGTCGAGTTTAAATTTTAGAGATCGCATAGTATTTAATCTAGACGTTGCTTTCTGAATTATTTGTTTAACATGTTCAACCCAACTGCAATTATTCGAAAAAAGAACAATAAGATGTTTATGCAACAGTACTTCTGATATTTTTTCATTGCACATATGTAAGATTGGATGTGGTTGACTGTTTCTTTTTCTACTAAGGGTCATGCTTTCCATTTTTTTATGATTGAAATCAACTAACCAAGATTTGGACCATTCAGTATTTTTTGTAGATCTGACTTCATAATGTTGTTTGTTTCTAAGGGGTTTTCAACTATCATGTACAAAGTAGTATCATCAGCAAATAATTTGATAAAAGATTTGATATCGTTGACTATGTCATTAATATAGATTAAAAACAACAAAGGTCCAAGTATTGAACCCTGTGGAACCCCAGCCTTAACTCCTGACCAATCAGAGTGAATATTATTGATTATAAGTCTTTGTTTTCTATTCGTTAAGTAGCTTTCGAACCATTTTAACAGCGATCCAGTTATTCCAATTTTTGATAATTTATACAACAGCCCTTTGTGCCAAACCCTATCAAATGCTTTGCTGCTAATACTACTCTTATTTCTTTACCTGAATCTAATGCCTTAATGAAATCGTTGGAAATACATAATAATTGGTTAATAGAGGAATCGCCTTACGTATTTTGTTATTACTTTCAAATCAAGAAGAAAATTATGGACATGTTTATAAACGCACCTCTCGAACACTTTTCCAATTATACTTAAAAGTGAAATTGGTCGATAGTTTTTAACATCATTACGGCTATCTTTTTTAATATAGGTAAAACATTTGCTTCTTTCCACGATGCTGGAAATATTCCTTGTGATAAGGATTTATTTAAAAATATAAATAGTGGCTCAGCAAGTGATGTTGCAGCTTCCTTGAGCACTTTGGGACTAATAAGATCTGGTCCTACAGCTTAACCAGTTTTCAAATTGAGTAAGGTATCCTTAACATCAGTACATGATATATTTATATTACTCAGACAAATACGAGTAGGGAATTATATTAGTGGAGGAAGCATAACCATTGAATCATCCACAACGGATTGACTTGAAAAATAAATATAAAAACATTAGCTTTATCAAAATCAGTTTCGTAATAGACATTATCATAAAAAATCGTTGGTATTTCTCCACATTTACCACTATTGTTCATGAAGAGTTTTACAGTTAACCACCATGACTTGTTGCATTGTCTTAAATCAGATAATTTTGATGACAAACCGTTAAAATAAGATTCTTTAGATTGTCTAATGGCATTTACACACTTGTTACGGGTTTGTCTGAAAATAGACCAGTCAGATTGGCTATCAGTAAGTTTAGCCTTATTGTGATTTTTTTTACGTTTTGATATTAATTTTCTGATTTTTTTGTTCATCCATGGATGATCACGTTTTCTCATAATGACCGTTTTGTTAGGGATAGCCGAAGAAGAAGCGGAATCGATGAAGTCAGTTAGACGCTTGCATGCTAGATCGATATTAGCATCATATACTTGAGGCCAATCCGACATTTCTAATAGTTCTCTTAGTTTGTCAAAATTTCCATGCTTATAAAGCCAAATTTTCCTTCGGTACGAGTCGGTTGAATGTTGAGCAATATTAAGAGTTGCATAGATGGGACAGTGGTATCTTACTGGTTGGTCAAGGAACGATTCCCCTACATAAGACCGATCTATTATAAAATCGTTATTTACCAATATAACGTCTATTAAGGATGTCGAATGTTCAGTATAATGCGTACATTCCGTAATTAACTGCGTAAGTCCGTAAGTGTACATTATGTTATCAAAATAGTTAAAATTATGACTGCGTTGCAATAAATTTACGTTAAAATCACCAGTTATAATAACATTTCCAATACTAGAGTTAATTGCCCAACCGATGGATTCCTCAAATTTGTTCCATACAGTTATGTTAGAATTTGGGGGTCTATAGAAAGTACCAAAAAGAAATATTTGACCTTTGGATGCTATTTCAACCTAAACACATTCGACATCGTCAACTTCAATATCGGACCTTCTTTTGACAAAATGACTGCTACATAAACAGCAACACCCCCTCCAACGGCGTTATTACGACAGTAACAAAAAGGACTGTGAAAACCAGAAATATCCAAGGACGAATCAATATCAGAGTCAGAAAGCCAAGTTTCGGTAAATGCTAAAATACTACGCTCATAAAGTTCGGTGTACAGAACATCTAGTTTTGGACGCAAGCTTTGTACGTTCAGGTGGACGAATGATAAGCAATTATTATTATGTGTAAAAGATACTGGTTCGTCAGAGGAGATTGACGAGGAGTTAGCAGAAGGATGAAAGGGGCCGGGGTTAGTTTCTATATCGCCACAGCATAATTATACAGTATAAATTGAGCGATGATCGCCGTGAAA